AAGCTACCAAGCTCTTCAGTCGGCTTTCCTCAAGCATGGAAAGCGTTTCAACAAATGTCACTCGGTGGATTCCTTCGAGCATAGGAAGCTACCAAACTCATTTGTCAACGATACACTGGTGCCAGATATGTATTCTATTCCTTTACTCTTTTATCTGTGGAATTAACATTTTTCTGCAGGTATCGGCGTATATAGAGTGATTTAGGATTGCAGAAAGTCTTAAATCATTCTCCGTCCCTATCAGTTACTTTGACTATCGTTTTCGAAACTGACGTTTCTACAAACTCAGTTAAAGTGGGGGATTCTGTAGACACCTAAAAACGTCTCCCCAAAACCAAACCCGATGATGAACAACCTTTTACCGCCACTATTGGTCGGGTTCAGTATTTAATCCCGAGAGTGCTTAAAAAATTGTATTTGATAAAATTCATATTTTTGAACAGTCCATGGATTAGTTTGGTAAAAGAATAGTTTTAATTTCAACCCAAACTTATTATTTAATCTTAGCCAAATCCTTTTTTCTTTTATTGTTTTATTATTTGTTTTTGGCCCAAACCTTTTATTTATTTTTATTTACTTATTTTGTTATTTTAGCCCAAATAATAATAAGTCAGAAAAGGCCCAAAATCATCAATCGGTACTTAAAATGCCGAATGAAACTAGGGTTAAAAAATGTATTTAAACGGAAAATAGACTGGAAATTCTCGCGCCACGGCAGACTGCCACTGTGTCACGGGAATCCTTCCTGTCTAATGGTGGGATTTCCAGTGACACGGGAGGTCTGCCGTGACACGGGACATTCCGTGTCTTTTCCGCGTAAACCTTTAACGTGTTTTCTTTCCCGTTTTCTGAAAATTTCTTGCGTCACGCCAAAAATGTACCGTGTCACGGGAAAGTGTGTCGTCTGACGGTGGGACTTCCTGTGTCACGGTAGAGTTTGCCGTGTCACGGGATATTTTTTTTAGGGTTTTTATCATTTTAGGGTTCCGTGTGCTCCCTCAGCACATTTTCCCTATAAATACCCCCTCATTTCTGATGTACGGGGCACCGAGTAATTCTCTAATTTATTTTTCTCTCTTCTATGCTTTAGCCTAAACACTAGCGTACCCTTTTCTACTTTAAAATTCCTTCTTCAAGTACTCAAAGGAGTCCATACTTTACTCGTGGTTCTATCCTTAAGCCAAGGCGTGAAAGGTAGAACTGTTTGAGGGTTTGGCCCCAAATCAACTCTACTTAATTTAATTTAATTTAATTATTGTTTTATTATTTCCTTGAAGTTAATAACTCGTTTATTATTTTGTAGTTGCAAACAAACAGAATCAAAGTAAGGATCATGCTCCTTTTATTTCTATTATTTTTCTAACGATTTTATGCTATTGGGATTGTGATTAAATTGTTTCCAATATTAATGCTTATTTATTATGATCACCATATTGCACGTTTAAAGGGAATATGTAATTGGAAATCACGACTAATAAGATAATTTGGACAACCGGCTTAGGTTCCGTTTTAATCTTATTGTTTAATCAAGTGATCACAATATTATAGAATTATGTGTTGCATTAATATTAAACCAATTTAGCATAATAATAATTTGGAGCAAATTGAATATTTTATTTGTATGCCTTTGAGATCGCAAGAATCACTTTTCACTATAAAAATCGAGTAGAGGCCAATACGGGCAAATGTGACTCCATGACTCACTTTGTACCATCATCCCCGATCCTCCTTTCGTGGTTCCGAACCATATGGAGTTAGTAATCTCATGGATTATGAATGGGGTGTAACCTTCACGGGTCAATCGTTGTTGCCTATCGTTGTCCCTTTATCGTGAACGGTTTACAAGTTCCTTAAAAACTTGTTGGTGGCTCCCTACTTTCCTTATCCCTAATTGTATTATGTCAATTCCCACTTCCTATGAGTTCCAAGCATATTCACAACATGCTTTAACGTAGGCGCACTTCAAGCGACGCCTACAGTAGTGTTTTTGGCTCTTTAGAGCCACTTTTATTACTAATTTGTGTTTTCTAGTATTTTCATAGATTTGGTTGACTTTTGTAGGGATTTGCATTTTTGGAGCATTTTCCCGAGATTTTATGGAGCAACTACGAGCATTGGAGATGCACGACCATCCTTCATAGCCCAAGGCCGGTTAGAGCCATCGAACTAGTGATTAAGGGCTCGGTACATATGATACCGGGGCATTTGGACCGAGAATTCAAGACCCGAAGAGGAAATCCGGATTGGCCCGGAGAATTGGAGCCTAATCGAAGTCCAAAAAGTGGCCCAAGAGTGTCGCTCGGCCATTAGAGGTCCCGCCCAAAGGTGCGCCTGGCCGGGCGGGGAAGTGAAGCTGGCGCCCGAATTCGCGCTCGGTCGGGCGCGAGAAACATGCACTTGAGAAAAAAGCGTGCCTGATCGGGCGGTGCCTCGCCCGATCGGTCGCGTGTCATTATGAGGAGTTTTAATCGTCGTTTAAGTTTGTTTTAGTTTAGGATTCTTGCTTAATATAAAAACTTTTCCGTTAAGTTTAGTATCTTCTTTTACTCTTTCTTAATTCCTCTCTTAGATTTTCTCTCTCTACTTAGTTTTTAGATTAGTTTCTCTCTCTAATTCTTTGTTCTTAACTCTACTCTTAATTCCAGATTACTTTGGTAACGATTTCTTCTACTTTAATCTTAGTTATTTATTTTAATTCTTTCATCATGTATTATTTTATTGCCTTGATTAGTTTAGATTTAATTATGTGTGAGTAGTTTCCTTTCTAGGGTTTATGGGGATCCATAAATAATATGAAGGGGTAATTTATTGTTGTTAATTATCAATGCTAGATTAATTTCCTATTGATTGATTTAATGCTCCGTGACTAGATTAGGCCTGATCTTTTATGCATGAGTTTGACAATATTGATTCGAGATTTGAGAGATGAGAATTGATGTTTAGGTCTAGTTTCAATAGGCAGGTTAATTTATAAATGGTTAAGTCGAGATTCGAGAGATGACATTTAATACCGGTAGATTAATTATGTGATTGTAATACGTAGCGAAAGCCTTTTATGATCTGATTAATGTATGCATTGATGATTGATTATTATGTTTTACCCTGGAATGTTATTTATTGGTGAACCTATGACCTAGGCCTTTATTCATTGTGTTGATCTTAAAATTTGATGATGACTCTAGGAACCTAAGCAAACCCACAATGGCTTTAACTTTTGTCTATTAGCTTTGATGTACTTGACAAGTTCTTATATGGAACGAAGTTCTAGAGTCAGAACGGAGCATGGAACAAGGTCTAAGGACGAGCTGTGGATGAGCATAGAAGATAATCAAAAGCCAAGTTCCTTGAGTGAGGAACTGAAGCTTCAGAGTCGAGGCTTCACTGTGTTCCAAGGAGTCTATTGTATCTTCATTATTTATTTTAGGCTTCTTGTATATATGTTAAGTACATTGTTAATTGATAGGATTTAAGTGGATTTAATTTCAGTTTATAAAGATTTTATTTTCCTTACTTTAACAAGATTTAATTTTATTTCGGAAAATTATCTTTTAAATAAAAATATCTTATTTATTAAAAGATTTTCTGTTCTGATTTTATTTTGGAAAATTATCTTTTAAGTAAAAATATCTTATTTATTAAAAGATTTTCTGTTCTAATTTTATTTTAACATTTTGGAAAATCTGACTTGGTAAAACTATTTTTAAAACGGCTTTTACTTGGTAAAGGAGGTTGAGAAAATAAAGGAACCACTTCCTTATTGTGTGCTTCAGCTTGCTGCCCAAGCATCCACGAACTGCACTTCCTTATTTCATGGAAGTTGTGGTGTAGTGGGAGTTAAGGCAAACATAAGGTTTTCAACTGCTTTCCTCCTGTATAAATAGGATTAGTTTTCTGTTTTGAAAAGCACACTTGAGCATTACGATTCTTAGCTTTTCTAAAAGAGTAAAAAATTCACTTAAGTCCTTGAGTGTCTTTGTACTTAGCATCTTAGAATTTTTATCTTGAGTTGTATTGGGGTAGAGTTTGGTTAAACTCTAGAGTGTGTAATTGCTTTGAGTGAAGTAAGGAGAAAGAGAGAGATTCGAGAGCTTAACTGATTGAGGGATCAGTTGAGGGGGAACTTAAGTTCGTAGAGGAACTTGAGTTTAGAGTCTTAATTTGTAATAGGTTGTTTGCCCTATTATTATTAAGAGTTTTGATTAAAATCCCTTGTGGTCGTGGTTTTTCTTCTTGATTAGGGCCAAGAAGTTTTCCACGTAAAATCTCTCTTGCACTTTAAAGTTTTTGTTTAAGTTTCTTTAAGGAATTCCGCAAAAATTACCCTAGTTCCTCAACAATACAATTCACCCCCCTCTTGTAATGTTCATTCGAGTCAACAATTGGTATCAGAGCCAGGTTCCTAGAAGAAATCAGGAAACCCTGACGAGTTAAGTTCCTGGAATCAAGATGAACAATCACGAGAAACTGGAAGAAGGTTACTCTACGCAACGTCCTCCTATGTTCAATGGAAAATTCTTCACCTATTGGAAGAACAGGATGGAGATTTTTATCAAAGCCGATAACTAACAGGTGTGGAGAGTGATCGAAGTTGGTGATTTCGAAATTACCAAAACTACTGGTGAAAATGAGGTAGTACCTAAACCCATGTCTGAATTTGATAAGGAAGATTTTGAGAAAATGGAAATTAATGCACTTGAAGTTAAATTACTTCATTGTGGACTTGGACCCAATGAACACAACCGTGTTATGGGTTGTAAAAATGCTAAAGAAATTTGGGATTTACTTTAAGTCACTCATGAAGGAACTAACGAAGTGGAACGCTCAAAGATTGACTTGCTTATGTCAAAATATGAACGGTTTGAAATGCCACCAAAAGAATCAATTCAGGAAATGTTAACTAGATTTACTAACATTACTAATGAGCTTGTTTCTCTTGGAAAGCAAATCCCTATTGATGAGCAGGTCAGAAAAGTTCTAAGGAGCCTCCCCCAAGATGAGAGATGGAGAGCCAAGGTAACAACCGAGGAAAAGGCTTGGCTATCAAAGCTGGAGATCAAGAAGACTCTGAAGTTGATGAAGAAGAGGTTGCTATGCTGGTGAGAAGGTTCAAAAGAATGTTCAACCGAAACAACAAGTCAAGGAAGTTCACCAAGAAACCCTCTACTTCAAAAGCTGACTCTGGTTGTCACAAATGTGAATCTCTAGAACACTTTATTCGTGAGTGTCCACTTTGGGATACAGAGAAAGGTAAAGGGAAGGAAAATGAATAAGTTAAGAGCAACTACAACAAAACTCCTTTCAATAAAACAGACATTAGGAAGGCTATGATTGCTGCCTGGGGAGATTCTGAAAGTGAGGATGAAGAGAAAAAACCTGAAGAAGAAACAACTCATCTATGTCTGATGGCCAAACGTGATGAAAAGGCTTACAACGATGAGCTTGCTAAAGAGGTATTCCTTGATCGTAATGTGCTTAAAACTTATAGTAAAGATGCTCTCATTGATTTAGTGTTTGAATTGGAAGATGACTGGACTCACACTAGTATTCGTCTAAGTGAAAGTCAAAGAGATCTCAAAGTCTACAAGGAACACAGTGCGTGGATTGAGAATCAACGAAATGATGTTCAAAGTAGATTTTTTGAACTTTTTGACAAAAATCTTCTCTTAAAAGAAATGAATGAGAAACTCAAGTTTGAAAATATCATGGTTAATGTAGAACAGACTCAATATAAACTTGCTAATGCTGAAGTGTCTCCGAGTTCCTCCTCTGAATCTTTGCCTAAATTTAATGAGAATTTTGAAAAATTAAAATATGATCTTGACGAGTTAAGAATTGAAAAGGCAAAATTGGAGAAGGAACTTGAGCTTCGAAAATAAAGAAGCATTAGCCAGTTTGGAATTTCCAAGTGGATAGAGAATGCTCAAACCAAAAGAACTGAAGGTCTAGGATTCATACGTTCTAAGCATAAGGGCAAGAAAAAATATGTAGACCTGCCTAGTTATAAAGTATGTACCTTCTGTGGTAAAACTGGTCATCTTGTTGCCACTTGCAACAAGAAGGAACAGTCTGTTAGATGGAATGTTAGGCAAGTTTGGGTAAAGAAATCTGATATTGCTTCAACGTCCAAGGAACCTAAGGAAACCTGGGTTCCTGAATCTAACCAATAAGTTCTTTTGCAGGTCCTAGTGAGGGGGAACAACACGTGGTACCTCGACAGTGGTTGTTCAAAGCATATGACAGGAGATAAATCAAAGTTTCTCTCACTAGAGGCCTATCCAGGAGGAACTGTGACCTTTGGAGACAACAAAAAGGGTGAAGTAATTGCTAAAGGAAAAGTAGGAAGGTCCAGTTCACATTCAATAGGGTTTGATGCACAATTTGCTGAGCATATCACAATTTTGTGATAAAGGAAACTCTGTAAGTTTTACCTCTGATTCATGCAACATCATTAATGATAAAACAGGAAGGGTTGTTCTTGAAGGAATTAGAAAAGGGAACACATACATTGTAGATCTAAATTTTGTTCCAAGGAACAACCTTACCTGCTTGAGTGCCATTAATGATGATCCCTTATTATGGCATAAACGTTTTAAACATGCTAGCTTCTCACTCATGGATAAACTTAGAGCAAGGAACTTGGTTATAGGGCTTCCCTCAGTCAAGTTCCTCATACAACATATCTGTGATGCATGTGTGAGAGGCAAGCAAGTCAGGTCTTCTTTTAAAAGCAAAAACATGGTCAGCACCACAAAGCCATTGGAGCTAATTCATATGGATTTGTGTGGTCCCATGCCTGTTCAAAGTAGAAGTGGAAAGAAATATGTTTTAGTTATTATTGATGATTTTTCTAGATTTACTTGGGTGATTTTTCTGTCTAGCAAGGATGAAACTTTTGATGAATTTGTGTCCTTTGCCAAAAGAGTACAAAAGTCAAGTGGAAATTAAATTATCCACATTCGATCAGATCATGAAACTGAGATTGAGAATTCAAGATTTGATGACTTTTGCAAAGAAAATGGCATGGATCATAACTTTTCAGCCCCAAGAACTCCTCAACAGAACGGAGTTGTTGAAAGGAAGAACAGGACTCTAGAAGACATGGCAAGAACTATGCTCATAGAAAGTGGTCTTCCATTCTGGGCTGAAGCTATTAATACTGCATGTTATATTATTAATAGAGTTATGATGAGACCAATCATCAATAAGACTCCTTATGAACTGTTTAAAGGAAGGAAACCCAATATTTCTCACTTTTGAGCTTTTGGTTGCAGGTGCTTTGTTCATAATAATGGGAAAAGGAACATAGGAAAATTTGATGAAAGAAGTGATGAAGCTGTGTTCCTTGGCTATGCATTAAATAGCAAAGCTTACAGAGTTTACAATAAAAATACATTGTGTGTAGAAGAAAGCATTCATATGATATTTGATGAATCTAATATGTTTATGAATGTGCAGGAACAAGACAATAATGATTATGAAATTGTATGATTAGAGACAGGGAAGAAGATGAAGAAACCTCCAAGCAAACCAAGGAAGTAAGAGAGGAACCTGAGCAAGAACATAAAGAAAATGCTGAAGTTCCTAATCAAGAAAACCCAGAGGAACAAGATCATGGAGAATCTAGCAACAAGGAAAATGGAGAAGAAACTGAAGAAGAAGTGCCTCAAATAGGAGTTCCTGCCCGAGAATTTCAACCAAAGCCATTCAGATATCGAGGCTCTCATCCAACAGACCTTATTATAAGTGATAATGGTAGAGGAACTCAGACCAGATCACAGTTGAGGAACTTTTGTGCCTTTTAAGCCTTCCTATCCATTATTGAGCCAAGGAATCATGATGAAGCACTAAAGGATGCTGACTGGATAATTTCCATGCAAGATGAACTCAATGAGTTCGAGAGGAACAAGGTCTGGCATCTTGAAGAGAAGCCTAAACACAAAAAGGTTATAGGGCTCAAGTGGGTATTTAGGAACAAGCTGGATGAATATGGAACAATTGTGAGAAACAAAGTAAGACTTGTTGTGAAGGGCTATAATCAGCAAGAAGGTATTGACTTTGAAGAAACTTTTGCTCCTGTTGCTAGATTAGAAGTTATTAGAATCCTAATTGCTTTTGCCTCTTTTATGGGTTTCAAACTATATCAAATGGATGTTAAGTGTACTTTATTAAATGGTTTTCTTGAAGAAGAGGTGTTCGTGGATCAACCTCCTGATTTTGAAAATCCCCAATTTCCTAATCATGTCTTTAAGCTTGATAAAGCTCTTTATGGGCTGAAACAAGCACCTAGAGCTTGGTACGAGAGGCTCTCTAAGTTCCTTCTTCAAAATGATTTTAAAAGAGGTAAAGTAGATAAAACTTTATTTTTAAAATCTGCAGGAACAGACTTACTAGTTGTTCAAATATATGTTGATGATATTATTTTTGGAGAAACTAACAAAAACTTGTGCAAGTACTTTGCTGAGCTAATGAGTGGTGAATTTGAGATGAGCATGATGGGGGAACTCAACTTCTTTCTTGGACTACAAATCAAACAAACTGAAAGAGGTATTGCAATTCACCAACAAAAGTATGTCAAGGAACTGCTGAAGACATATAACCTTGACCAAGCAAAGACCAACCATACTCCAATGGGAACATGCACAAGGTTAAATGAAGATCTACAAGGAACTAGTGTAGATCAAACCAAATACAGAGGTATGATTGGATCCCTTTTATACTTAACTGCTAGCAGACCTGATATTGCATTTAGTGTTGGCTTATGTGTAAGGTTTCAATCTAATCCTAAGGAGTCACACCTTACAGCAGTAAAAAGGATCCTATGATATCTCAAAGGAACTGACCATCTTTGTCTCTTCTATCCTAGAAGTGATACTTTTGATTTAAAAGGTTTTGCAGATGCTGACTATGGAGGAGATTTGGTGAATAGGAAGAGTACTTCAGGAATGATTTAGTTTCTCGGGCCATGCCTAGTTTCTTGGGGATCCAAGAAACAGAACACAGTGGCCTTGTCTACTGCTGAAGTTGAATATGTAGCAGCTGCTGCCTCCTGTTCTCAAGTACTTTGGATAAAACAACAACTAAGAGATTATGGTATGAAATATAATTGCATTCCTATCTATTGTGATAATACTAGTGTCATATGCATTTCAAAAGATCCAGTTCATCATTCTCGTGTGAAACATATTCATATAAGGCATCATTTCCTATCTATTGTGATAATACTAGTGCCATATAATTAAGTTAGATTTTTGTGAAACTGAAAATCAAATTGCTGACATTCTTACTAAGCCTTTGAGCAGGGACAAGTTTGAAAATATGCGCATGGAACTTGGTATGATACAATTGAGTTAAAAGGACCTCAAATTCCCCCAAGGTATAAGTCAATCATGCATGCATTATATGTATCTTACACAATATGAATATGTGAAAACATAGTCCTAAGCATTAGAATGTATGGCATTACATATGGGATTGTGGCTGTATGTGAAGAAATCAAATTGCGTTAGGCATGTCTATGTTATAACAAACAATGTTGATTTGTTCCTAGTTCCTCCGAAATAAACTATAAGATTTTGTTCTATCTTTTTGAGAATTAATTAACTAATCAGTTGATTAATTTTATCTCTTGAAATCTTATCTTTTATTTTGAATTATTCCTCATTGCTTATCTTTTAAAATTCAAATTCATCTCCCAAAAATTGTTGATTAAATACCCGTGACTGTTTACATTCAATTCAAAGTTTCTGATAACTTAACCTTGACCCTTCATGTCAAATCACATTAATTCTTTAAACTGGCCAAGTTAAAAGTAATTTATCTATCCTTCATCAAACGACACCTGCACTATTCAATTAACCTTCCACATTCTTCCACCGACCCTTTTATCCCTTAAAATTCCACCCCTATAAAATGACACCAAACCCTACACAATGTTCCTTACCTCCTCACTCTGTAAAATACACCCTACATTTTACCGATTCTGAGAATTCACCCATGTGTTTCACCAAAACCTCAAGTTACCCCTCAAAAAGATTCACCCATGGATATCGAGCAAAAGAATCAAACAAAACCCTCTGTTGAAAAACCAAAGAACTTGCCTGCTGAGTCAAAAACGCAAAAGCTGGAGGAACTTGAGGATTAGGGCTGGGAGGAATTAGGAGAAAGAATTCAGTTGGAAAAATCTCCAATTCAAAAGAAAATCGAAGCAAGCTCTGAACGCTTCATTCATGGTTTCTGCATCAACTTGCCATGGTGCGAAGTAAGTAAGTATTCTGAATTACTTGAAATCTTAGAGGCTCAAAGTAGGTGCAATTGTTTGGTGAGAGTTACAATAATGTGCTTGCTCATGCTTTTTTGAAAGAATTCTGTGCAAATTTTAAGAATTATGATGGTGTTTGTGTATCAAGGGTTAAAAAAAAGAAAATTAGTTTTGATGCTGATTATTTATGTGCTATCTTTGGAGCTCCGAATGAGGGGTTTGATGAATATTTTAAAGGAGCTACTGATAAAAGTGTAGGTGATGTGTCCATAAAAGATATTGTGGAATCAATTGGTGGAAAGGTGTCTAAAGTCCAAACAAATCATAACCTGTTCTCTCCTCTTCAAAAACTGTTGTTTATCTTTGTGCATTTAGCCATTGTTCCAAGAACTCAACACAGGCATTAGGCTAACCACCTTGATGCTATGCTGATGTACTGCCTTGAAAACAAAATACAAATCAATTTCCCTTCCATCATGATAAAACACCTCACCCACTGTCTTGCAAACCATTTGAAGGTTGGATATGCAAATCTGATCATTACTCTCATTGAGAGTTTTGGTATTTCTGTGGAGAACTGTGAACATCTCAAACTACAAACCAATCATTTTGTTCAACCCAAAACCCTAGAAAGCAGAAACCTGCATGTAGTTGATGGTATTACCCAATTCCTTCCTAAAAAAACTCTTAAGTCTAAGGAAGGAGTTAAGATTCTGACTGAGGAAGAGGAGTTGGACAAATGGCTGGAAGAAGAGGAAAGTGAGGGAGAGGAAGAAAAGAAGGAAAAAGAAGAAAGTTTTGAAAAGAAGGGCAGAAAAAGTAATGTTTCTAGTGCTAGGAAAAGGAAGAGCATTAGGTTGGTTGTTAAGCCAAAGGCAAAAGCTGAGGTTCCATCTGCTTTCGTAGATCTCAGTGAGGAGAAAGCCTTTGTTTAGGGGGAACAGGGCATATTTGTACAAGAAACTGTCACTCATTCTACTCCAGCAGGTGCAGGTACAGGACTTGCTGCCTTTAGTTCTGTGAGTTCCACCTTGGAACTGAAGGCACTTAAAGATGTTGTCAAGCTGTTGTCTGATGCTCAACCAACTCTGCTCCTGAGGATTGGAGCTCTTGAGAAGCTAGTAGGAGACTTGGTGCATGCTTCTAAGGAACTCACCTCAGCAATGAAGGAAAGCACTTCAACTCTCTCTCAAGGCCAGGCTGAGTTGTTGAAGAAGCTGGAAGAGATTGTTGTTGAAGAAGAAGTTGCTGAGGAAAAAGAAGAAGAGCACAAGACCCCAGTCCCTACAGCCTAATCCTATTTTCTGTCTATCTCATCTATCAAACTATCTTTTGATCTTGGTCTGTATTAAACTTGGTTTATTTTGCTTCTTTTGGTCTGCAAACAATTAAACAGGGTATTTTCTTTTGTTTTTGATGTTCTGGAGGAACATCAGTTTGTTTATATGGATGTTGCTTGCTTGCTTTATGACTATTTCCATACTATTTCTGCCTATATGTGATTTGTTCTATGCTTTGGACACAAACCAATAAAATGGTGCTGTGTTTAGATATGTATATTTGTGTGCATTAATTTTGATGAACGCCAAAAGGGGGAAAAGAAGGCAAACTCAATTGTTGACAAGCTCTCCATCTGTTTATAATAGAAGGTATAACTATAACTTTTCATTCAGTTCCTTGTTTAAATTTAACTAGTTCTAATTCATTTTTGTTTTTCGTTTTCTGATTGTCTTTTTAAATTTTTTTTTGTGAGTTTGCTTAGGATTGTCATTCATCAAAAAGGAGGAATATTGTTGATCTTAAGTTTTGATGATGACTCAAGGAACCTAAGCAAACCCATAAGGGCTTTAAATTTTATCTATTAGCTTTGATGTACTTGACAGGTTCTTATATGCAACGAAGTTCTATAGTTAGAACGGAGCATGGAACAAGGTCTAAGGACGAGCTGTGGATGAGCATAGAAGACAATCAGAAGCCAAGTTCCTTTAGTGAGGAACTGAAGCTTCAGAGTCGAGGTTTCACTGTGTTCCAAGGAGTCTATTGTATCTTTATTATTTATTTTAGGCTTCTTGTATATATGTTAAGTACATTGTTATTTGATAGGATTTAAGTGGATTTAATTTCAGTTTATAAAGATTTTATTTTCCTTACTTTAACAAGATTTAATTTAATTTCGAAAAATTATCTTTTAAGTAAAAGTATCTTATTTATTAAAAGATTTCTTGTTCTGATTTTATTTTGGAAAATTATCTTTTAAGTAAAAATATCTTATTTATTAAAAGATTTTCTGTTCTAATTTTATCCTAACATTTTGAAAAATCTTACTTGGTAAAACTATTTTTAAAACGGCTTTTACTTGGTAAAGGAGGTTGAGAAAATAAAGGAACCACTTCCTTATTGTGTGCTTCAGCTTGCTGCCCAAGCATCCACGAACTGCACTTCCTTTTTTCATGGAAGTTGTGGTGTAGTGGGAGTTAAGGCAAACATAAGGTTTTCAACTGCTTTCCTCCTGTATAAATAGGATTAATTTTCTGTTTTGAAAAG